CCGGCGCGCCCGCCGCGTTGTTCTCCGCCACGTAGGCGCTGTAGGCGTCCTCCTCGAAGACCGGCGCGTTGTCGTTCACGTCCGACACCTCCAGCACCAGCGCCGTGCGGCACGACAGCGCCGGGCTGCCCCGGTCCCTGGCAGTGATCGTGATATTGTATGCGGACATCTTTTCTCTGTCCAGGATACTGGCTATTATTAGTTTGTAGGTGGTCTCTGATGACGGCTCTAGTCTGAAAGGCAAATCACCTTCGATGTTACAGCTCACTTCTCCGTTATCTCCCGAGTCTCTATCACGGACATTGATCACGGCTATAACTGTGCTCGGAACCGAGTCTTCGGGTATAGGGTTCAAGATAGGCAGCAGGGAAAGTGTTGGGGCATTGTCGTTCATGTCTATAATGTCTATTTGCACTTTGGCGTGGGCACTCAGCCCACCCCCGTCTTTGCCTTCAACAGTCGCTTCATAGTATTTTCTTTCTTCATAATCTAAGGGGCCTGATATCTTCACCTCCCCTGTCCTGGAGTCCAGAGTGAAGAGTCGGCGAGCACTGTTTTCGATGTCACTAAAAGAGTAGGTAATTTCTGCATTTGTACCTTCGTCGACGTCGGTAGCTTTCACCTGAAAAGCTAAGGAGCTCTCTGGCAGGTTTTCCAGCAGTCGAACCTTGTATATCAATTTGGTGAATACCGGTGGGTTGTCATTTGCGTCGGTCACGTTAATCTTAATCTGGACAGTCCCGGATCGGACTGGATCCCCGCCATCCACCGCTATCAGTATCAAATGGTGATTTCTTTGTTTTTCTCGATCTAAGGTTTTCTCCAGCACTAATTCCGGCTGTTTCGTCCCATCAGGACTCACCTTCACTACAAGGGAGAAGAGCGGGTTGGGAGTAAGTCGGTAGTTTTGTAATGAGTTCGTCCCAATGTCGGGGTCTCTGCCACTGCTCAGTGGGAACCTGGCCCCAGGAGGCGTGGACTCTATAATTTCTATGACAACAGATTCTCTCTCAAACTGTGGCGCATTGTCATTGATATCCTGGATAGTAATGCTTATATGAAATATGTTGAAAGGATTTTCCACCACTGCCTCAAAACTGAGGACACAGGGCGACAGGGCGCCGCAGATACCCTCTCGGTCTATCCTGTCGTTTACCCGCAGATTTGTGTTATCTTCACCGAGCGTGAAATACCGCTTTTCGTCACCAGAGACTA